GATTAGGCGAGTAGGTGAGTAGGTGATGAGGGAAGGATACCTATTGATCTGTTGCTCCGCCCATTGAGCGATCGCTAATCGCCTACTCGCCTACAACGCTCTATGGGCGGAGCAAACCAATCAATAGGTATGTAGTCTTCCACGCCTAACCGCCTAAGGTATACGTATATTTTTCATTTTAGACTAATCGCCTAATCGCACGTACGATCGCCAACTATGAACACTCCATAAGCATTTGGCTTCTTCCCCTTTGTCGCTTCCAATCCCCATCCTTCCAGGTTTTCTGGTCTCTGGACTTTCCAGGAAGCGCTATATGCAATTTCGTAGTGATCTACGCAGCTAAAGGTGTAGCGTTTTTGATAAGCGTGGCAGTAGAGATGGTCATTGGAGCGTCGGTAAGAAAAGAAACGGTCGAAAGCTCGACAAATGAAATTCAAACTCGAGCATGATAACAAGTGATCAGGAGAGTGGGTCACTTGTTGAGGAGGTTTCGGCCACTACGAACCCCTCCTCCTTCCCCTACCTCCCTCCCCCCCCCTCCTGCTACCCTACCGAAAGTTTCACTAGATATGGCTCTTCCTCACTCAACATGGTAGATACTACACAATCCCTTATTAACAATCGATCGATCGTTGCTCACCCTGATACAGGATACTTTTTATAATAAATGAAATCTTACCAATAGACACGCATGTTGCTTGTTGGAGGCTTCTCGTTAGGATAAACATAAGTTAATAGAAGAGGAACGACGACGAGGATGGTGTTGCACACAATCCAGTTTCTACTGGTGATGAGTAGGATGAAAAGAAAAAAGCAGATCACTTTCGCCAGCTGAAACCAATCAGTTGAGAGCCCGAAAAATCAACCACAATTGCAATCTTACCAAATCAACGCTTTGACCAGTGCCTTTCGAAAGCGATTCCAGTCCACGAGCAGTAAACCATTTCTGAACAGGAAACAACAACTCGTTTCGGTTCAGTTCTTCCTGAACTACTCGAGTCTGCAGACCTTGTTGTGGACCCTGTCGTAAATTAGCTCATTGAGCTCCTCCATCCACGAGTAAGTAGTAGCAATGAATAAACCTCACCAAACGTTCACTTTGCCAAATGCTATAAAGGCGCGATATCCTTGATAAAGGCCTTCAGATGCATATCAGCATCGCACCCTATATCGTATATCGTTGCGAACCCCGTTTCAAAACGCAATCGTTAGGCCGCGTTCATAGTTCGCGACTCGGGAGATTAGGATAGTAGGCGATAGGATATTTGTATAGTAGTGAGAGGAGATTGCGCTGACAAGATTTGTTACGTATCGATTGAAATCGCTGGAGAGTAGTAGATTGGGCGAATTCAAGCGAATAGATCAATACATATCTAATCTTGTCAACACACTATCCTAATATACTACTATCCTAATCTCCTACTCTACTGCTATCCTACTATCGTAATATCGCAATCTACTACTCTCCGGCGATTTCAATCGATACGTATCAAATCTTGTCAGCGCAATCGCCTACTCTACTACTATTCTACTCTCCCCGTCAATACATATGATGTGTTTCATTGTCGCGTACTATCCCAATCTCCGGAGTCGCGAACCATGAACGCGGCCTTAGAGCGCGGGCCAAACTGATAGGTCATTACCTATGTATGCACCTGTGTATAGCAAAGGTTTTTTAGTTTACTCCATTTATTGCATTCGTCTGAACTGAGAACAGCTCTGTGGCTGGACATTGAACGACCCTGTGCTGCACATGCGCCTCAAATTCATTGCACACATAGAAAATGAAATCATACAACCTTGACAAAACAATGGTGAAAGCGAACCTATCACACATTCTACAAACTAGCCATATCAAACCTTCAACCCTATTATGCTAAAACAGCATTTTCCTTAAGCTGAACGAATTCTGCCTAATGTTATGCACAATATAATTATTATGACTGAAAAATATATTATGTAAACCGGTTAGGAACATAGACTAATAGCTAATGATGAAAGATTTGGAACACAGTCAGTACTTGTTTGTTGTTAACAGGAATCAGTACATTTCCATGCTGTGCTGCTTCTAACCATAAGAGCATCAGCGCACCACTTCGCCTATGATATTATGTCTCTATTCATGAAAGGCCTTTAAAAATTGTATGAAACACAACCACAACATCATGGCAATAAATCAATTACTCCTAAGCTATCAAATTACTACAAAACGGATCTACAAAATTTCAAAATACGGCCAACACCTATAACAATTCGACTGATATGATATGCGAAAGGGATCCTGCGCAGTGTCCGTTCACATCAAATGGAGAAATCCTCGCCATATCTTGCCATGAAGTACATCAAGAACAAACCGGTGAACAAGCCAACCGACTGCAGGAACAGCACGTACGCGCCGCGACGTAACGACACATTCAGTGCCTCCTCCATTGCCTTCTTCATCTCTGGCATCTATAAAAAAAACTCGCAGAATCCCTCCATTTCTAGATGTGATGATCGACGGGTTTGAACCCTTCTCAAACCCATCTTTACCAGTACAGAACAATATTCACCATACAACCCAGCGATATGTACAGGAACATTCCACCAGCCAAAGCAAACGCGTATTTCGAAATATCAGGACCCAATTCACCGATACCAACACCGATTGCAAAACCTGAAATGGAGAAGCAGTGAAAGGCATACGAAGCAGCACGCGTCGAATACTTCGAGAGCACATACCGATATAGCACGTCACGGCACTAAGGAGGTTGTACAGAAGAGCTTGACGAAGATTCATGCCGGATGCGACAAGGATAGCTACATCACCTGAATAATTAAGATCAAAAAGGATCACAAAACAAAGCAGCTCGTCGTCAGACAAGTAGAAGCATACACCGAAGAACGGTCATTACTGCAATGGTCGTTTTGGTGATGGGTACCGTAACGCCGATGGTGAGCGATTCCTTGAATGTGCAAACTCGCACAACATGAACACCATGGAGAACATGTATTGTTGGAAACATGCCCCCTATACGTCATCTTTTACAAACGCAACCCAAGAACACAAATTGACTATGATCATATCAGACAACACGATCGAGGGTTTGTCACAGACGCGTAGACCGTGCCATATGAACCACGGTTTGCCACCCAACATTGACCACTATTCCATACGTTAAAGATCGCCCATCCGAAATTAAAACAAGAAACTTCCAAGAATCAAGTGGTGACAGTTGAAGGAGTAAGCCGCTGTGATTTCCCGCACTCGGTTGCCGGCGGTCACGACTGTAATAAAACATGGAAAAGCACTACTGAAGCGAAGACCCTGATCGTTCGTTTCAAACTCAGCATGAAAAAACCTGGACGCAAATTATTAACACGTTGAATAACGCGCATGTTTTACGATTTGCGGCCCGGGGACTTCAGTGGAAGTTTTAGGAATCTAATCAAGGATGGAAAGAAAAGCCTACTGTATGATGCAGAAGAAACCTTATCAAATGAAATGGAATGGAAAACAAAAGAGAAATCAAGACTTCTTTCAAAAATGTGGGTCGTGAGGTCGCAGGTGGTCGACGGATTGAAGCCTACATATGGGCAGCATGGGCTCCAAGCTGTTAGTAGCGTGGTTGTGGACAGATAACGTCAGAGAAAACGTACATGACAAGAAACAGCTCTAAAACGCACTTTTTAGCGACAAGATAGATGATGTCTGGCTGAGTTTCGTGGTAGCGAAAAAGAAGACAAAGGGGCTATGACTGCTGCAGAAGCCGCTCATTGTGTCGATGTCCACGAGAAACTCTAGCACGACGGTGAGCAGTATATCTGCCGTGTGTCTAAGGCTTGCTATCGCCGGAGTGACCAGGAAAGGTCATCAGGTCGGTCCGGCCATTTGCAATGAGAAGTATACCCTTGCACACGCTTCGGAACCTGAGCTCAAAACGGCTTTCGCTGTTTGCTAAACGACCCTTTAACGAAATTATGAAGCAAGGACGAGCAGCGGTAGTGCTCCGGTCTAGCAGGCAAGACGTCATGGGAACGGTCCTTGACAAGTCTGTTTTCACTTTTCTCAACAATTTCTGTGGCCAAAATTCTTCTATCTTCTTTAATTTATTAACACCTGCTATTAGTTGCCTGCATGAAGAGTTCGTGAGCTGTTTTTTGTAGGTTTGGGTGCTATTTCTCCTCGCCTACCCATGTTGCCCGTAGTACACTGCGGGCAACATGGGTAGACGTGGAGACTACTGACAGACTTTTTCGCGGTAACAGACATGATATTCGTTTTCGAGGGAATAAATTGCTCCTGGGAACAAGATTACAGCCATTGAGATTCAGACACAATGCGAAAAATTGGTGAACCAACCATCTCAAACCTTCTAGAGATGATGTTTGCATCATCAACCTATCGTCGAGCCCTTGGTAGGGGAATCAACCTCTCCATCCAAGATTTTGAATGTAAACGTTCAACTGGTTCACGTTTCCGCATATAGGAACGATTTACGTGACTCTGCACCCAAATTCAGGGAAAGGGCTTACGCAAGTTCGTTTTCGATTCATACCTGCTTGCGCCTGTCTGAGATTGCTGGACTACCCGTTCTCGATGGTGGATAAAAATCTCAAATTCGGCTGGAAGCCTACCTCTAGAGTATTTACACCCTCTGATAACGAATATCATAGTCGTTTGTCGCAAAAACGCGTGAAAAATGAGCTATGGGCGTCGTAGGCGTCGTACAGTCATGGGCAATTAGCGGTAAACCTGCGACCAAACTCTTCACCCAGGCAAGTAGAGGCAGGCGTTGATAGAAAGCAAAAGAGCGAACTGTGAGGCACCGATCCCATGGCTTCTCTACTACGAGTGCGTAGCGTTACCACCTACAGCGTTCAACTAGTGTTGAGGAGAACACTGACTACGCTCGGAGCATCGTTCAACAAATACGAAAAGCAGTTTCTGGCTCGTCGTCTCAAGACAAATGCATGGGTGTACACCTCATTGAAAATGGCCGAACCGACCTGATGACCTTTCCTGGTGAGAACCTTATGAGCGCAAGAGGGCAAAAAGCGGTGGCATGACTACTTCGAGAACATCTCTTCAGTAGAGTTTGCTCATCCCGCTCACCCTTATGCACCCGCCTGTATACTGTTCCGTTCAAAGATAGCCTTGAAGGAAACGGAAACGGCTCAAAGAAATAAAGTCAAAGCAAAGTCGAGAGGAATCGCCGGCGGAATTGTGGAAATCTTTTGCCGGTTGACGAAGTTTTTCGACAAATTCGTTTTTGAGAAGAAAAAACGTGAAAGTTACCATGATAGCAAGGTGAGCAAGATCTGCAAGGGGCAGTCTTGCAGACTGTACAAAGTATCGTTTAATTCCTCCTGCTCTTGCAAGACATGAAGCCTCCTGACGTTCAGTTCCCCTTCTGGGGTCACCAGAGCTGTGCGATCATTGAAACCTAATGAACTTAAGTTTGGGCCTAGATTTAGGTTTGTGCTTACAAATTGGCTTACGCCCGAGCTTATGAGTGCCTAGGCTTGATGCTAAGCTTGCTCCGAGCAAGTGAGTGGTGCTCCATTTTCAGGTGACTTGACCTTAATTTTCGAAAACTTTTGCCTAGAGGTATTTCGATGCCCTGATTACAACATGATGTTTGCTTTTGGCGCCAGTTTGCGCCACCTTGTCACGACGGCGGTTCTAACCAAATCCGAGTACGGCTGTGTATAGGGCTTATCTGGAGTTCTGATTGAGAGCTAATGCAGGAATCAGATAAGCCAGATACCCAAACAGATAGACCAGACAAGCCCTGCACACATGTTTACACCGAAATTGATTAAAGCTGCCGCCGTGGCGAAATGTCGCCAACTGGCACTAAATGAAGCCAGTGTCAAAAAGAGTAGCATGTCCGTAATCAGGGCATCAATGCCTCTACTGGCAACACTTCGCAAAATAAAATTTCGAGATTTTGAGGCAGTAATAGCATAGTAAACAGCGCCCCAAAGACGAGCAAAAAATACGTTTCAGATAAAATCGGCTTGACAAACAAGAGCAAAAACACGTGGCGAGGGCAATCATGGCAAACAGAAAAAAAAACTTGAAAAAAAAAGCAATTTGATGGATATTGTCCGGGCTCGAAATCTAATTGTGAACAATGATTTATTAGACACCAAATAGAGGAAGCTTCGTGGTCGCCATGACCATTCAAGATAACCATAATATTCTCACTAACCTTAGCATGCTGGTCCGATTTTCTCCAAAACCGGCTGAGTTACGTCATCGACGTTACGGAAGTTTGCCCCAAACTCTTTTGCATTCAAAACTGGCAAGGCATGTTTAAACAGTGCAATAGAATATGAAAAAACCTTACCTAACTCATGTGGAAATTCTTCAGCAAGGACAGCGAGCGAAACCGACAGTCCGGCATTCATCGACTCCGCAAACGACGCACCAATCGAAATACCATCGATGAAGTTATGAAAGCCATCACCGAAAATGATCATCCACGCGACCGCAGCTATCGCCGAGTCGCCAGCTCGAAACTCAACTGCGTGGTCGTGCACACAAATCCCGTGAGCCTGCAAAACATCTTGCAGAAGAGTGTCATCCACTGTTGCACAGGTAGTTGTAAGTCCCTTGACTAAATTGTAAACACAAAGGAAGGTTCCTATTTTCTGATTGGAAAAGTACACACACACAAATCTTTCTGCCTGAAACAGAGGAGAATCGATTCAGAACTTTAAACCAGTATGCAGTTGCTGAGGTTAGCAACTTCTAAATCGGAAACATTCCTACGTCTAATGTGAATTCTCCACATGACCACTACGCTCTCTCGCTTCTGTGCCCACTATGTTGAGTGTATAACCTTCCCAAACCCCGCGTAAGAAGGCTACAGCTCACAAAAAACGCAGAAGTCATGGTGCGTGGAACTGCAATTCTGCTCGTTCACAACAACGTCGTTCGATCAGTAAGTAAAAAGGTATATAAATGCGCCCAACTCAAACACTGCTGAAACCGACGGAACAGAAAAGTCCTCGCGATCTTCTAAGCCATAATTTTTTGTTCTAATTTCCTTTTCGAATATTCCGAATCTTGAAACTTCAGACACGCTGGAATTATACCCAAAAGAAAGAGGACGTGCAAGAACTCTACGGCCAACTAGAATCATCCCACTGCAAAACTGGGGCTCCCCCACCTTCTTCACGATTTGGGGCGCGGCCGCGGCAAACCCGCAGCCGAGCAGTGTGGCAGCACCTTGCCTGAGTATTCGACGTTACATTACGTGTTAGTGTTCATCCGATCGTAACGGCAAGTAATGTAACGTCGAATACTCGGGCTAAGCTATGCCGCACTACGCGGCCGCGAACGCCGCGGGTTTGCCGCGGCCGCGCCCTAAATCGTGGAGAAAGTGGGGCAGCCCAAAACTGGAGCAAATGCCTGTCAGAAATCGTCCCGAAAATAGTTACACATATATTGCAAGCATCAGTTCCGACTAAATCACGACCAGCCGTGCATGTATCGGGTGAAGCGAAGCACTGTAAGAAACGGAAGCAGAAAGCTACACGATGCAGAAGAGGGGCAAAGTATAAAAAAGGAATAAAGCACTCGATGTATAACATTCCCAATTCCGGATGCGCCTTGTATCTACCTCTATTTGAATCGTATTGGCAATTTGAAGGGGTTTGACCTACACAATGACCTGCGGGGGCCAGTTGATGCACAAGTCAGTTGCTTAACTAGCAATCGGCATACAAAAAGCTTACAGGGGAAAAACCGAAAACACTTGGCTCGCCTTCTTCTATGCCCAGGTTCAAATCACTGCGGAAACATTTAAAACTAAATGGCATCGCAAGCCTATCAGCAGAAATATACTAGACCACTTCAGGTTTGCCCATGCGTGCGGCACTGAGAAAGCAATCATAAGGAACATGACGTACAAACCTCAAAGGTTTCATAAGGAACAAGTAGAAATCAAAGTCCGTAAAAAAGACGCTTCGCATAGCACAAGAAAAACGCTACGAAACAACCCACTACGAGCGCGGACGAAGTGGTCAGCGCTTTTGTCCACCCAAACAAACCTGATACATCAAACCGACCCCTCGATGGATGAAAGGCTTGGTGGCCAGAATGACCCACAACCTATGAGATACCGGGAGGCGCGCGTGGTAAGCAGCGCCACTAGCTATTACACCACTTCCGCCCTGCAAAGCACTGCTATAAGTAGATTACGTTATGTGCGTGCAAAAATGAGAAAATGGGAAACATAACAGTCGAGAGAAATCATCATTTGTCCTTCTTGAAGTAAGCAAACTAGCTAGCTCAACACTGCAACTTCGAGTGCAGAAAACTGCTGAACCCTGTTTTTTTTTACATCTAATATCCATTTTCAAGGAGATCTTCACGTCGTGCCTCGTTTTTCAAAACGGTTTTCTGCATTACATATGAATAGATATGATAATGTGCATGGAATATGGAACTGGTGGTTCATTTTTCCTAAGCAGCCCTCCGCACGGGTAAAAGGATGAAGGACCGGTTCACGGTTAGATCTCCCGTGGTGACCAAGTTGCCGTTCTTGATTGACGCTTGCCAGATGTCGTTACATCATGCTGAACACTGTTTTTGAAACGCGGAGCTACCTGAAGTACCTTTCTAGTCAGGCCTGAAGAATATGTCGAAAACATGCTGCACACCTGAACTGTGATAATAAAACCAGAAGCATTCACATGCTCGCGACCAAGGTAAAGCGCGCGGAATTGTCGACGAGGAGGAGTCATATTTGTCACGTCCAAGATGAACGGGTCATAAGTGCGGGTATCATTACAAAACGAACAGTGGAGCACAGCTACAACAGAACCAGCCTTTTATAAGTGGTGGGAACCAAGTTTCGCGGAACGGTTGGCTGAAATTGCAAAGGTGGATGCTACGTCAACAAACATGTCGCGGAATTTTCGGAGTTTCTACAAAAATTATAGAGCACTAAATGTAATTTGTCGCAAATCTTGGAGCAACCTAATATTTTCACAAAGCATTTGAAAATTACAATTTTTCACTTACAACGCACAAATTGTTTAATGCGATTTGAACCTCAAAAAACAACAGATAGCACCTGAAATCGTAGAAAAATGGTATGCTTCAAAAATTCTCTTGTTAATTTTAGGGGAGAAGTGAAGTTCTTATCCAACACATTTGGCAACTCAAAGAGTACTCTTCGAAAAAAAAACTTGCAGATCCTTAGTTCATCCTGGAGCAAGTTATAGTCGCTTAAATACGAAAAGAAACATTTAAACTTCTGTTCCAGCAAGTAATTCACAATAATTAAAGTGCAGGTTTTGGCAGTATAAAATATCATCATTTGCCCCCTTTATGCAGAGGAGCGGTTAGTATAGTGATCCATGTTAGTAGGGAAGGGGTCGTTCTACGGTATTTTCCGCGACTCCACGCTTGACCAAGGCAGCGAATGCATAAAAGTACGATGGGAAAAAAGGAGAAGAATACACGTTATCAAGGGAGGTTGTTGAGTAACGAAGACAATTAGTGGCGATAAAGCGAACGATAATGACTGAAGTTCCCCCAGACCAATCCTTGGGGTGTACATAGTGGGGCCAAATTAAGATGACCGCCAGTGCACTACATCTACGGCGATTCAACCCAACAAAAAGCTCCTATGGAAACTATTCAACGATTCAATAAGAGAGAAACATATGTGATGAAAGATGCGCGAATTCGAGGGTTTCGAGGATTGCAACAGGGCCAATAACAAATGCAAAACTCCCTACCCCTGTGAGGTTTTCGTACACCAACGTCTGCCATGGGCAAAAACCGATCGAGTATATAGGTTGTAGGGAAAGTCTTTGCGGTTTTCGACAGTTATCGTTCAACTGACTTTTTGAAAGAAACTACACACATGAGGAGGCAAGGTAATCACCATCACACCCTATCATTCTCTGCCACTTTTTGGGCAGGCTTCGGCTGCCTCCGGCAAGGAATTGCCTTGAGCTCGACTCGAAAAGCTACTCAAAAAAACTAAACATTTAATCACATGTTTTACCAGCGATCTATGTCATCTTCATCTTCAAACGTTTTCTCTTGTACAGCATTCGATAGCGAAAGGAAAAGGTGGTAATCAGTTGGACCAGTATCTTGGCTGTACGGTGTGTGGCTTCCCACTTCCCACCCAGGGTCGAGTTGCGTCTGTCGGGTCACTGTTGTAGTGCGTGGACGAGCGTTATCGTGATCAGATCATGCCGCAATTCCGACCTTTTCCGCGACCTTGCAATATTCAGCATCTGACAGCACAAGTCCACAGCGAAAGCAGTACAGCGCCGCATTAGCTCGTAATGGATAATGCCCTAGCAGTCTCACTGAAAACTGATCATACCCTTCAGAGGGCGTATACCTTCCTTCTATTGCGGCTCAGACCAGTCATCCTTGTCAACCCAGTGTTGGCGGGGCTTGATGCTGACCTACAGACAGCACTCCTCGTCATCTGTGATGGTGTACTTCAGCCAATCATCCGTGCACGTACGAAGCCATTCATAAGCCAACTCGATACGTTGCAGCGATCGCGTTGGGTCAAGTCACGGGGTACGCACTGTGCCAGATTGTGCATTTTCCTCAAATGATGTGGGTGATCGGCGGTGATGGCAAAAGATACACCTGAGACTCATGCATGTTCACGCGCAGTTTGCCCTGGGTCTGCCACAACAGCCTATGCAAACGATCATTGTCGACTTTTAGTTCACGTCTCGATCAGGCGAAACATTGAAACTTGTGGTTTCCCTCGCGGAAGCATTGAGACCCTACTTTTGCGGTGCATTCGGATACCTTACGTTGTCCACGCAGCACTGATGCGACGTCTGGATTAGGGTACTGATTCGCCAAATATGAACTGTATAGTAAAAGGTCATTGAAGTACTGTTGTGGTTGCACATTGAAGAAAAGTAACAAGATGGAGCTAACGGCTGATAATGATGCTAGACTTGCCTATACGTATCAAACATGCACAAGCCAAGTTGCTTGAAGGAGATAAGTAAGTAGAAAAATGAGATTTTTTTGAAAACCGCAAGAACCTTTCCTACAACCTAATACATTACTTTGAACTAGGGTCAAGCGTGCGTCGAGGAATCCTCGACACTTCACAGGGGGGGGGGGGCGTATTGGCCCGCTGGGAGGAAGAGATCGAGCCGGATTGATGCAGTAGGATCATCGTCGGAGGACAAACATCATGGATCGATGCCATGGAAGACCAGAGGACTTCCAGTAACAATGCTATTCCGCCCGCATAAAATTTTCGTGATTCAGAGGTGTCCGCGTAGTGATTTTTAACTACCTCAGAGTTTTATAACTGAACAAGCCAAAGAATTCAAAATTCGAACGTTTCCTGACGGATATTTCATCTTACAAGTTAGTCCTGGAACCTTTAGGGATGTGAAGCACACGGCGCATACCAAAGGGAGCGCAGTTGTTGCACGCGCTCCAACTACGGCTTTTTGGAGAAAGAATCTCAATTCAGAATAAAATCAAAAGGATCCTGAAAGGGTCTGTGTGAAATTACATAGAGGAGTACACTATTAAAGGCAAATCGGGCTCAGTAAGGGGGTATTATGGCGATTGAAACTGACTATTGAGATGCGATGGAACGACAGTGGAGAAAAAACTGAGAAAACGTCGACAAGGCCGTTACAAAACCTCTTTCCACGAGCAGTGAAGGAGCTGCCTTGGAAAGAGGCAGGTACTTACAAGCTTCTGGGGATGTAAGTCGTTCTATCGGTTGATACGCCACCAACCCACTGATTTCACACGTTATGCCAGCCACGCACCACATCCAAAGTGGGCGTCGAGCGGGCGGCGATAGCGTAATAGTACATCGCCTGAGACCTTATTACGCGCCGTTCGAGATTTTGAGCGTGGAACATCTGTACTGGTGCAGACCAAGTAACAGAGATGACCGAAAGGATTGGTTTGGTCAACTAATCCCGACCCTTGCCTTTAAGCGAGAATGCTGCTTTAGCGTCAAATTCCTAAGCATGTGATCGTTAAAGTTAAAGAATGCTAAAAAATTTTACCCCTTTTTGGAAAGAGAAAAGAATGAGGATTCCGAATCTGCTCCCACTTTAGTATATAATTGCCCTGAAAAGAGTTGGTCGTTGAAATAGTGCCAATGCATCGCAAATGTACCTTTCGGCGGTATCGGGCAAAAATCCTCGACGTGGCCATTATTTAAATACTGAGCGTATCGAGCAGTCCTAGCAAGCGTTAATAGCAGCAATTTCTAGTTTGTATGCCATATAGCTTTCTAGATAGGATGAGTTTGAACGGGGTTATGGCTTTGAAAGCGTAAAAACTCGCACACTTCGCGAATTTCCTCGTTCATTTGCCAAAGTCCTCGACGTGGCCCTTTTTTTAATACTTAACGCGTGAAGCTGGTTAAGGTTCGATAGAGCAAAATCTTCTAGTTTGTATGCCATTATTAACTTTTGAGATTCGACCAAAATGAAGCAAGGTTATGGCGTTGGAAGTGTAAAAACTCATGCTCGCCATGAATTTCCTCGTTAATTGATTCAAATTTTATTTGGGGCGGAAGTGTGTAGTGACAAGTGGCGCGCTCACCACGCGAGCGGTCCGGGGATGCAAACCTGGTCGTGAGTCGCCCGGGCCAACAAGCCTTCCATCCCTCCGGGGTCGTTAATTGGTACTGGACTTGTTGGGAGGATAAAAACACTGACTTGAACAATCGGCTGGCCCCCGCAAGTCATTGTATAGGCCACATCGCAGTCAAATCCACTTGGATGTACACTGAATAGAATGCGTGCCGCATCCCAAAAAGGGATTGATCAACGGCAAATGCTTTATCCTTTTATTCTTTAAATTTGTTATTTCTTATAAATTTTTGTAATTTCAATACTGGTTAGAAAGAGCTGTTTACAGAACTGCCAAATCTGCCTTCAGATTGAAAATTCGTTCATACTGAAGAAAGTTACAATCATTTGAATATTTGTTCAGATTTTAATAGTAGGAAAGCTGCTCCACGGACAACGCCAAGGATCAATCAACACCCAGCTGGCTAGGGCGGTTATAAGACTTCTTTCAAGCAAAAGGGGGACGTGCAAATTGAGAACCATACTCTGTGTAGTACAAAAATTTGGTAAGTCGCCCGAAGGAAATTAATGAAGAGGAGATTTTGCCATAGTATGCCATTTTTAGTGGGTAGTCTGCCGTTTTTTTTTCGTTTCTCGTTTGCTCGTTCGGTAGGACTCACCAATAATGATTATTACTTGACTTTTTTACTTTTGTACTTCTTAAACGAATTTTTTGGTGGAGGGTGGGGTAGCAGGGCTCTTTTAATGAACAGTTCTGAGGGAGTATTAAACAACCTTTTCATAGTTCGGCGTGTGAAGAGGGTCGTTTATCGACTTCGGCCGTTGGAGGAGGGGAGGAGGGGGGGTCGTAATTTCAGATTTTCCTCGACGGTTCGCTTGATCCTGCTTTGAACTTTCGTACCACGAGGCATGCCTTCCTCATCCCAGGGCATGATATGGACGCAGTGGGTGACGGCTTTCAATCCCAACCAAGTTTTGCTTTGTGATACGAGCGCCCAACATATCTTTTGAGGTTTGGTTGTTCCAATAGTTGTTTGATTACTTGATTTCAATGTACAATGTCTTGATTGCCGTATATTGGCCATTTCCATACCAAGATACAACTCTCCAAATGAGAGCAGCACTTAATACGCCGTCAAAAAGTGTGCATGTGGTAGAAGAAACACCCCAAATTGTCAGAAAAAAAATAATTGAACGAAAAACCAGATGAACGAATGTGAATCCGCTTTGTGCTGAGAACTCTCTACCGAGGGATTTGCAGCCGACTAGTGGCAAGGACGCCAGCATGCGCGGCGGACAAAGGGTAACTTCCACCATTATACTCGCGTTGAGAAGTAGCCAGAACAGAAAACGAACTTCTGCCTTGACTAATTAGTTTTTTTTTTCGTTACAAGTTCAGAAGTATTCATGAGATTTATCTAGCTCGCGACAATGGGTGCTGCTAGTGTTCGCGTGAAAAAAGTGACGATCAGAGGGATGACAGTGGAAAAGGCGATGTTAAAATAGGATACACCACTTTGTGGATGAATAAACCAGCTGTGGCAAGTAGTAGACATTCCCTCACCAAGAACGCCATAACCATTCTGGACGTCGTTCTGTACATGTCGCACATGCAAACAGCAAGCAGTCGCAGCACCTTGCAGCACACCAGAAGATTTTCGACCTTCCCCAAAATTACAGATAATGTGGAAGCGTGGGTTAGTTCGAGGCGTAAATTAAATAATATGGAAAATGCTCTTGAATCCAGCATAACATAACAATCCAGCATTATCCAGCGTGACATTAATACATGCTTTTAAGAGTGCTATCGCGGCAGAAAAAGCTGGGGAAGACAACAAGGAACTGCTTTTTCATAATTTTTCACTTTTTAACCTGTCTACTATCTCAAGTTATCTCTATATCTTCTTGCATGTATGACTAGACCTGCCCCTGGCACGAACGAGCAGACTATGGACAGACCGGACGCACTTGGTTTAAACATAAATGAAACTACTTTTACTTCACTCTTGAACTAAACTAGTTCTACCACCACTACTACTAAAAGGTTAGTGCACAGGTACTGAATAAATTTTAAAAAGGAAGGAAGAAAAGGAAATTGTCATTCCTACTGACAGAACTTCGGTGATGGCTATTCTCGTCGCCAATTTCGTGCTCGGTCAACGTGCTGGTTTTAAAAATTGCTCCAAAAATCCGAAGAGAAGACATCTTGCAATGACGTCGAGAGGAAAAGCACTAAATGGAATCGCGAACATGAATTTGCCTGTCTTCGCCGAGAAAAAAAAATAAAGTTCGCATATTCATTATTTGAGAAACTGATGAAAATATGTCAGTAATGGATTAAATCGTTTTTGACGAAAACTTTTACTTTGCTAAACGGCTTCAAACCACCTTTTCTACGAATCACCAGAAACGAGTCTTAGGCAACATGAAATCAGAGTGAAGCAAAAGCGAAGTTGACACAGAATCTGTCGGCTGTGCAGTGGAGCCAAAGCAATGACAGAAAAGTACGGATCAGTAGGTAACAGTGAGAAAAAAAAAGTAGCAGGAATTACCTGATCACCCATCGATTTACCGGCACTATTTTCAAGCTTCATCATCTCGATTTCGGCCGCTTCTGTCTTGTTCACAGTTCCCTTCAATATTATTTACTTATTTATTTATTTAAAAATATGTGGAAAAAGATATGTTACAACACAAACTTAGTAAAACGTAAATAACAAAAAACACCAGCTAACAGCTAGAACTAATATATAAAATTAACGCGCATACGAAACAGATTAGAATTCCCATACTCTTTCTGCGCTGAATAAAAAAGAACTTCGAAAATAAAAGAGCTTCCTTACACGTTCGTGGAAATCTTGTTTGTTTGAAACCAGTGCAGAATCGCTTCGATTTGACAACTCATCTCGATCGGAAACTTGCACAGTCATGATTTGTGAACGATTGCGCTTAAATAAGAACCTTCAGATATATTTATTTATTAATTTATTTGTTTCTATACACTCAAAAGTGTGCACAGTCAACAAGAGCATCACAGAGAAAAAGCAATGGAACGATAGAAGAGCGTTTGTACTGAAAGAGCGGATAGATGAATGCTGAATATTTTGTGCCCTCCTGGATGAGGTGGGGGAGGGGGGGGGGGCAAGGGAGGGGGTTTTAATCCAACAAGATCAGGCAGACGTAATTTTTTGCTTGCTCAGGAAGCACTGACAAAAAGCATTTATAATATATGCTCCATAACTCGTCAAATTCTGCATTTCTAACGTCGTCTATTCGCTAAACCATTAACATGTAATAATACCCAAGTGTATGACAAAAGGTCTACTGCACATCTTTGAATAAATTCATTACTGCAGCATTTGCACCCGTCCCTAGTCAGTGATTCCGTCGAGCGACTATCTGAATTGGCGATTATGTACGAGACCTTACCATTCGGAGCGTTCTTCGGGATTACAAGGGATAAAGAGTTCAATTGCCCCTCGAAGCCAGGTGTTGCGCCTTAGGCGGTACTCATGGTAGGTCGTCCGATTGTAGCATTATCCTGATGATTGGACGACCGACTATGACTATTAAGACCACAACTGTATGGTCGTACATGCATTTTCAACGCAGATGGACTGCGCAAGCTTAGGCTGCTGTCACAGTCTGTTCCACGATTGAAATACGTATTTATCAAACATGCAATCATGGTTCATATGTGGCCCTATTTTCAAGGCTGGTTTTCATTGGCTTTCACAAGTTCTCTCAAAGTATCAGTACAGTATATACAGCTGAAATTCAAGCACGACGTATTTACTTTCATTTCTCTCTAATATTTGCATTAGAAAGAATGCAAACAGTTCTGCCACATCATTACTGTGGCCGATATTATAACGGCATGCAACCAGGACAAGAATGATTGCACGAAAAATACGTTGGCGATTAATAAAATGTTGGCTTACTGCAGATCTGGCAGAAATTCACTCGGCTGCAAAGGAATGAGAACAATCTTCAACAAACTTTCCCATGATGTTGGGCGAACGGGTCTTTTATACAACGCAGAAGGAAACATACGTGTACCTCAAAGCCCCTAATTTGACTATTATTGCTTTCAACCTCCAGTTAAACCTTCCTTTTTTCATGACAACGTCGGACACTGAAGGCATTTGACAGATGTTAAGAGCATTCACAAATTATCAAATCCATGCCGCACGGATTATTTACTACATTATTATGTATTATGTATTAGTACTATTGCATGTATTAATCAAAATATTTCTCAATACACATACACTAAAACAAACATTTTTTCTGAATTGTGTATTGAGAGCACAGAAGATGTGGTCAGCCTGAGTGGTTTGTGATCTGCAGAGTGGCAGCTTTAACAATAAGCACTTTCATCTAAGCGCTTACAGTACATATGATGCACAAATCACCCTCATTACTCTACATTCGGTAAGAAACACTAAAACTGTGGAGAAAAAACTCACTTTCCTCATTTCCAATACTATTTTAATGACTTTGTCGCACATAAAAAACAAATACACTCCGATGAGGGAAAAATGGGCCATGTGAAGATATGAGTGTGTTAAGCGTCCATTTGCATCACTCTCCTCCATAAGGGACGGATGAGCCTGTAAATCACTGCATTAGTAAAGAAAACAAAAAAACCACGACTGAATACGACAAAGAAGGTAAAATAGTATAGACATGAAGTCTTTGGTACAGAATCGTTTACCTGCGGGAGGAGATGATAAAAACTAGATCCTGATAACGAGCCAACACCTAATCCCACAAATAAAGTAATAACCTGAAATCAGTTATGAAAGATAGACCTAAATCAGTTGTAAAAGAAAAAGAGCAAGTAGCAGAGCACAGTAACGTGCAGTGAAGCATTCGTTTTCACTTTTTCAAATGTAATTTCCTCAAAACTCAAGCTCTTGCAGCAAAACTTCAACAGCAGGTGACCTGCACGGGTGGTAACATTATAGCAGTGCATCGTGTAGCAGCCTCCTTTCAACGGGAAATGGAGCTCCTTCTTCAAGTATTGTCCGCGGGCACCCATTTTCACTCGTCATAAGTGGTGAGTTTTTATGTTTAAAGCTCGTGGTTTTTGATGTTTTGTGTAATTATAATACCGTTACACATTACTCAGAACATCCCAACACATTCGAGAATTCTAGCCTGTGGCAGGACCAGGTGACACCATCTTTCGGAGCTTCTACAAAGGCTGAACATCTTAGCAGGTTTTCGAAGTTCAAGGAGCGTCAGTGGACGACTTGGAGGAAGTTCAAGGGCATCGAACCTGCCAAAGTCAAAATGTGTCCAGAAGCAGCAAAAATGAGCCCTCCTCTCGCCAACAGAAACATTGCTCGATTTGCAAGGAGTGGATCACATCACGCTGCACCCTACATTCAGCGCGAATTCTCGACGCCAGACGGTCCAAATCTGTCCGCAGACAATGTGCGACGTTGTCTGAAAGATGCTGGTCTCTTTTGACGTCGCCCAATGAAGAAATTGCTGATTCTCCTCAACAGTGGCAAAGCGCGTCTCAATTCGGCTCATGCCCACAAGCAATGGACTATCAAGTAGTGACAAGAAGTCATCTGGAGCAACGAATCGGTGTTTGGGACGAAAGAAACCAAGTTTATGCGACTTCCTGTTGGTATCAGATACCATCCGAGGTTCCATGTGCTGATTGGAGAATGCAGGTGGTGCGGTGATACTACGCGGCAGCTTCTGTGGCAAAGGGGTTGGTCACTTTCATCGGAACAAGGGTAAAATGGATTCCAAAACGCACCTTAACACGTTGACGACCGTGTGGTATGATGTCATACCACACTCTTTCGGCCACGTAGGACCGTGTGACATGATGTCATGTCACAGTCTTTTTAAGCTGGTTTTCAAACATTTTAGGTAACTTATTTACGTGATACATGCGCCATACTTAGGCATTGTTACAAAAGGCTGTGGTCCTAGAAAGAAGGTTTGGTTGATGGGCATCGAGTTTTTCTAAAAATGTTTGAACAATGATCAAATCACAGGAATCGCTAAAATGGCCAAAATCGCATAATCGGAGACGTACCATACAAAAAAGATAACAAATACACACTTCCTGATAAAAGGAGTTCTTGTGGGACCGTTTGACATGGTGCCATGTCACACTCGCGCGGTCAAAATAATGCGCGCGGTCCCACACGACAGACAGCGAAAAATAGCGCGGTCGTCAACGTGTTAACATATGGATGACTGTTATCTGGCCGCATATTCACAGTGTTGCCCGTAGTGTTTCATTTTCCGACCCGAAGTGCAAAATCAAAGCCGCTCTCGAAATGATTCCGCAACAACAACATTCCTCTAGTGCCGTGCCCTCGCAGTCCCCATACATGAATCCGAGCAAAAATTTATAGGATGATCTTCGAGGTCAAGTTGAAGGCCTTTAAGCTCACATCAAGCTCGAGAAGTTCGTTCCACTGAAGATCACTTAGGGAAACCTCTGCCAGGAGAAAATCCGAAGCCATGCTACGCCGGTGTCAAGCTGTCATAGATGAAAACGGTTCTGCGACAAAGTGATGATGTTGCAGTTGCCCCGTCTGTTACTATACAAACTATTTTGTTATTATTTTTGAAATTTAGATAGATTGAAATTCGAACAGGTAAGTGGTATTGTACCAAAAAAATTGAAAAATTTCTAAACTAATGTACAAGTCACCTAGACGATTGAAAATTTGCTCCCAGATCACATATAGTGATATGTACTCACATTCAAAAAATCAGAACAAAAGCTTGAGTTTTGAGGTTTACGTTCAAAAAAGTGAAAACGAATACTTCACTGCACGGTACTGTATGTGTAGAGGGGGTACACATATTTACCTGATTGTATACGTCCTTAGTAAGATATCGCATTACTCCTATACCAACAACGGCACACATGTTGATAATTGTAACAAACATTAATCCAACTCCCCAGACTGAAAGGAAGATTTGTAAATCCTTGTTGATGCAAAATAGGAAGTGGGCTGATATCTAGAGGAAGGGTTCCATCCAGTCCAATTCATTCCTGTGCGAATAGAAAAGATTATGAGATATGAGCCTCCCACAAACGCTCTGAAATCGCTCAGAAACACTACAAACTGATTGCTCTGCACCAGCAAATGTCAACTATGCTCATTATATTCTTCAGCTCATCTTCAACAACAACATACTATTAAAGATTACAACTTGCGAGCTAGCTTGATCACAATTGAAAGCACTTCCAAAGAATAGAAATCTACCCATGTATGATGACGGCCTTTCATGAAATCCACTGTTGCTTCGCAAGATGGCAAAGTCTGTCGAAGACGTTTCACTGCCAGTACTGAGACTTGAGGAATTGTTGAACAATGGCATAGAATTATTCTGCATCAATGTACAAAGCTGATGTATTTGAGACTCGGTGAGATTCGCAACCGAAGTCGAAGCGTCCCATGGAAAGGCATGAAGTACCATCTCTGAAAGTCGGACCACCTTTACAAGCACTCTCGACAAGCGTTTTGCTCAAATTTTAGATCCGAAGAAAACAGAAATGGAAGTGGAGAAATAATGAAATGACATTTCGAGTGTCAAATGAGTTCCTCCACTCAAAAGATCATAAGACACGCAACACTGCCATAACACACATGGAAAAGACCTCCAGCACTCATTCGCTTGTTTCCGCAGATTCAATCCGCCCACTGACGGTGGGTGGTCGCTCAGCAAACATTGTGACATTGGCAAAAAACAATCTCTTATGAAAATATAGGAGCGTGACACGGTAAAACTCCAGTTCGGGAAGGCACTATCTGTTACCCTATCCGTAGTACTAGAGAGCACTCCTTTGGATTACCCTATGGATAAGATATAATAAGTAAACGACTCATTTCAAGTGCACTTTTGACAGGGACCGTTGTGTGTTCCTCATTGCGCACATCCAGCTCTTATCATAGGCAATTTATGGCATGTGATCATCCACCTAGCTCCTACACCCTTGCGCCTGAGGAAGGATATCCATACTCTATTCAGGACCATATCCTTGGACCACAGCAGGCTGAACCACACTATACCTCCACCTGTCCTTATCACTAAACCGATTACGTGTCACGAAAACTTTTATCCTTATCCTTAGTTATAGTTAAGCGGTGCACGCACTCGCGTGCATCACACGGTACTGCAGCAGTATTGGAATAAGGCCATCAATATTACTGTAAGGCTTCCCGGCAATGTTCGCCCACCTCGCTCCGCGCTCCCACCCACCATTCCGACCTCCCTTTCGGTCTCGTACTTTTTCCAACTTTTTTCCGGTCTCCGAAACAGTCGAAAGGTTTCGTCACTGACCCCACCCACACTAGTGCATGCTTCGCCCACCGATAGTGTTGACCTTCCTCCTTTGCCGGACTTCCACTTTCTTCCCAATCTCCAGGACTTCCTAGAGCCAAATTATGTGTTCGATGCAAACTCCGCCCACATTGATGTACGTTCCACCCACTAATTGCAGTTGACATCCCCTCCTTGCCAGATCTAACCACTTTTTTCCCGGTCTCCAGGGCATCCTGGAATCGAGCTATGATGTTCGTAGATAATTCGCTCTCATTGCTGCAGGCCCCGCCCACTAATAGCAGCTAACTTCTCTTCCTTCGCTGACCTCTACCCACTTTTTCTCGATCACCAGGACTCCTTGGGAGTTATAGCTTCAACGCAAACCAGGGTGAATAAGGATTTCCTCGACCATAGCACTATACCATGTGAGAGTAGTGCCGAGAGTGAACATCCGCGCGAAGAGCACAGACGGCACGCCCATGGCGAGTGTGAATGTCCGCGCGAGGGATCGTGTCTGACCGGGCAGAGAATCCTCGACGTGCCGTTGAAGGATCCTCAAGCGATATTAGCCCTGACGCAAACTCCTCCAACATTGGCGCATACCCCGCCCACTGATAGCAGTTGACCTAGGTTCCGTTGCCAGACTCGATCCACTTTTTTCCCGGTCCCCAGGAATTCTTGGGACCGAGTTATAATGTTTCGTGGATAATCCGCTTTTTGCGCATTCCCCGCCCACCAACAGCAGTTAGCTTCATTTCCTTCGCTGACCTCTACCCACTTTTCCCCGGTCTCCAAGACTTCTTGGGACCAAGTTGTAAGCCTGGTTGCAGGCTCCGCCCACTTTGTGGTGTACCACGCCCAGCGTTTGCATTAGACATCTCCTCCTCTTCTAACCCCTGCACACTTTTCAAACGGGGTTTTTTTTTTCAAACGGTCCCTGATCATTTCGAAGCCGAATTATGAGATCTTGTAGGAAAGGCAATGAGTCATGAATTTTCTTGGCAACTCCCGCCCACTTTGGTGCATGCTAAGCACACCAATAGCGTTTAACCGCATTTCTTCCGCTAACCCTTATACGCATTTTTCTAGGTCGCCGGGACTTCTAGGAACTGAGGTATAAGAGTGGTAGCAAACTCCTCTTACTTCGGGGTGTGCCACGCCTAGCGTTTACATTCGACCTCCACTTATCCCTTAACCTCTGTACACGTTTTTTCCGGTCTCTATTTCATTTCGGAGCCGATTTATGAGGTTTTGTAGAGAGCGCAATCTATGTAGCGAGCTATGTATCTTCGTGGCAAACCCCGCCCACTTTGGGCATGCCTCGCCCACCGATAGCAATTGACTTCCATCTCTTGACCAATCTCCAACCTACTTTTTCCCATCTCTGGAACTTCTTGGAACCGAGTTATGAAGTTTTGTGGCAAACCCCGCCACAAAACACTTCAACGCATGCCTCGGCCGCCAACAGCAGCTCGCCCCATTCCCTCTGCCGACCCTTTTCCACTTTTTCCCTTTCCCGGGTTTTCTAGGAACCGAGTTATAAGCGTGGTTGCAATCTCCGCACACCTTGATGTTCGCCACGCCCAGCCTTGACTTCTAGCCTCGCCTCCTCTTCTAAGCTTTATCCAATGTTTTCCGTTAGTCACCTCGGAAGCGATTTATGAGCTCTTTCAGAAACTTCGTCTACTTCAGGAGACGCCCCGTCCATTGCGGGTGGGTCTCCGCCTACATCATGTATGCTGGAAAACCTTAGACATTGCTTCCCTAGACTTATTTCTTTTTTCCTCTGTAGGCCTCCTCCTAACCGAGTAATGAATATTCTCATTGAGCACCGCTTTTTCAGAGAACGCCCCGCCCACCGAGGGTGGCTCTCCCCGATTCAATCTGGCTTACTAACACACACCCATACCCACTTTTGTCCCCAGTCCCGAGGCTGTTTTGTGACTGAATCTAAAACCATGGTCCTCAGTACCGCTCATTCCGATGCACGCCACGCCCGCTGCGGGCGGGGCTTCGCCTAGCTGATGTGTGTTTCTTACTTCTCGAGATATGGTGCACCCATCCCAAACTTGACCCGGGCCCTGTAACTTGTTGTTCGCTTAATACCGAATTTCGTGACAGACGGACAGCCAGACAGACTTAGCACATTATATTAGGCTGGTAACTTTGAAATGTCGTTTTTGATCAAAGATTATTTTAAGTATAAAAGCTATACCAAAGCTTATCGACCTAATTTATTTCCTTTATGTGTGTCATCCACTCTCCACCTTTTGTGATGCAAAGCATGGAGGTCTATCTCGTAGAACTCTTCGAGGTCCGACTCGAAGAAGTCAGGTACTCAAATTTTGACGTCGTCGCGGTCATTGAATTTATTTGCTGCTGAGGGGTGCTGTATTGGCCTAGGTCAGTGATTGTTGGACGGCGCCAGGTCTGAGCTATATGGCGCGAGAGACAGATCGTCCCAGCCCAACTCCTCGATTTCTTGTTGCAAAATTTTCGCGACATGTGATCTTGCATTATCGTGCCCAAATTTTTCAATGACCGAATTTGCCCTTTGACTACGCAGAGCCCGATACTCGCCTGCGGGGTGTAGTGCGCAGGGCTTAGTGTAACTATGTGACGCACAATCAGCTCTCCATAGTAAGCCATTCTTATACTGCTTCACCACAATGTAGCACTTTTCTCTGTGGCTGTCCCATTTTGGAGAGGCCCTCAGCTGCCCATCTGTTGCCAACCACGGCCATCTCCTCACTTTGTTATCGGGGTACATCATTCTGTAAAACTCGCTTCCAACGAATTCAGGAACTTTCCTCTTCCTGGAGGTATGCAGCAGAGTTCAAGTATTGGCAACCAATACTGCTCGCTCGTGTCGCTCAGAATAGACCGAACCCATGTTCTTTCCTGAAAGGCCCTAACAGTCGCACGTAGGAACCTTCAAATTTTTCTGTTGATACAACTGAATATCCATGCAAGTTTTGTGCGGTATGTCAAGGGCTCGATTCGTTGGCTTTCTTTATTTCTCCTTCATCTGGAGCTAAAGGTCGTCGTCGTCACGACCATCGTCATCAGCTCCTTTACCTCAGTATTGGAAGAGCCATGAAACCATAGCTGAAAGTGCACCAGAGACTAAGTGTTGCTGCTCAATGTTTTGCACGTAATGAGTGGGATTCGTTGGCTGTTTTTCCTTGCTTGAATATACACGCTCAGGCGATGTTTTCCGATCAATCATATTCGAGCAAAAGTTTTGACTCGAAGAACATCCGCTCACTGACGGCTAAGGTTTCGCAATATGCAATGGCTCTCTCAAACAGATGGTCTCCCATATTACGAGGTTGAGTTTCAGCTGAGAAACAAAACCACTAAAGGAAGCGACATTTCAAAGTTACCAACCTAATATATAGCAGGGATTGGAGCATACACTGGAGTGGCCCCCTGAACTGGTGTTTCACCGCATGACACAAATCCGTTGCGGATTGTATACCTCCACTCCCACTACATCCAACAAAATTACGGTTCAAACAATGCACAATGAGAAATTTGAATTCACATAAAACATAAACGCGTCTGCTAAAAAAAACACGAGAGTTCAGATCTCAACTCGAGGCACAGATCTGGTGAAAAAAAAACGATTATCGTCACCAGATTGTTTTGCGTTCAATGGTACACGAGCTGTGTTTGTCCCACGCAGCGCTTTGACGCATATTCTCGGCAGTTTCTCTTTTCGATTAGCAGTGTCACGAATCATAACTTACAATGTACGAGCAATGGAAGACAACAACACAAACCGATAGGCAGTCGACAAAGTATCGCCTCGCGATCAGAATTGAAAAACGGAAGGAACACAAAGTCGAAAAAGAGCGATTTTAGAGGGAAGCTGCAATGGAAGCCGTACCTGTAATTCCGAGGACTTGTTTCCAAATTCTCTGAACACTCTAAAATCAACTTCGAACATTCATTTCAGATGGAAAACATTGATTTCAGATAACGGCTTAGATAATGGCTTGAAAAGACCAGTGATAATACGAATTACAGAGATGAATTGAAGTCACATATTTGTCTGTTGCTCAGATTGGCTATGCGATGAAAGAAATAGCATGATCCTGAATGCAGCATTGTAGGGCAGTAAGAGCACAACCCTGGAGATCCCGAACAAA